ATTATAATTAATTATTGCACTCAACACTAGATTAAATGTAACAACGCTACTGTGATTTTATATTCAGAAAATAAAAAGGAATATTATATCACAGTAAGCATAAAACTCTTGTATTAAATGAAACTGATTCAGTGTAGTCTTTAATGTGCATCTTTTGTTTTGAAAGAAATGTGTGCAGATGGTACTTACTCCATTTTTATCGGGCATCTTGATAAAACCGATGACTTTTCTGTTAACCAATTCAAATACTTGTAACCTTAAAACAAAATATTATGAAATAAATTATTTGACTTGACTGCCGTGGGATTTGTAATAAAAAGTGATCACTACCTATTAGACAGAGTAACAACTTCAGACATATTGAATATTACAGGTATCAACAGTTGGTAGCACTGGTGAAGTCTTGAAACAGAAGAAAACAATATCACCAAGACGATCCAGTAAGAACAAACACATGGAAAACGTATCTTGTCAGGTGTGTGGAGACATGGCTGCAGGTTTCTACTGTGGGGCTTTCATTTGTGAAGCTTGCAAGGTATGTATTAATCGCTTCATCTTTTAATTATACATTATGCCTAGTAGAGTGCTATTGGGTTGTTTGATTTTGCTTTTGATGTTGAAAGATTGTTTGACATCCTGACCCTTGTATGTTAAAGTATCACAGTTTTCATAAAGATTTTATTAATTTATGTATGAATGAACTGAGCCTGCTATACCCTGTTGAATTAATGTACAGAACAAGTCCTACTACCCTATTGTATTTATGCAATGAACTCATCCAACTATATATTATACCAACTGTTTAAGAGTTCACTGCTGGCCAAGGCTTGTTATAATCAGATGCTAAGAAACAAGGTAATTATGTTACATAATCTATAAGTACTACACATAATATAAAGAAGGATGCATAGTTAATATTTTGAAGCCTTTTAAACAAGAGTTAGTTTGTTATGAAAAAAAATAAAACCACAAAAAAAACCCCAGAAGAAACAACATCATTATAGAAAAACTTTCACCGAAACTACTACTTGCGCTTGCTTTTATCATTATAAGCCACCAGTATCAAGCCACCACGTATCAAGCGGTAAGAGCGCACCACGTTTACAATTTTTGTAAACGTTTACCACGACTGCTAAAACCGAAAACGATACCGTTTAAAGGTTGTACCTCCTCTATTACTATATATACACACCATATATTTGAAGTCGCAATGATGTCTTCTTTCTATTTTTTAATACAATGTACACAAATAAAAATGTGCAAGCTCATCACGATTGAGTCAGCACACATTTTTTGCATTGTAACCCCATTTTTTAACCAAAAATGTATGTCAACGAGCAATTTTTGCCACCGTAATGCTGTGTGGAGGGTTGTAAACACCCATTTTCCCGTTTGCGTTTTACTTTGGAATAAACCACTACAATTGATAAAATCCATGATTACAGGCAATGATTAAGAAATTTTGTAAGACAATATGGTCATTTCGATTTAAACGGTAAACAATATCGTAAACGTTTATGAGATGAAAATCGAAAAACGAATCCGTTTAAAATGTGTAATTGTGGGGGCCTTATCAAGCGGGACCAGCCTGAACTTCTCACTTCTGTGTATTCAGACTATTAAATCCTGATTACCCTAACATTGATAATGGACTGTTCCAAAGAGAAGTTAGGCATGTCAATTACACAGATTCAGCAGGTTAAGGGGTTATATCACATGTTAAAACATCAGTTTAAATGTTATACAGGGTTTGGATATTATTACCGGTATACCACATATAGCTTAAAGTTTTCTTCAAATTTATAAGAATGCAGGTGGCTGCATTTCCTTAAACACAACCTTGATTAAATAGAAACATCTGGATGCTGTCAATATCATTTCTATAAAGAGGTGTTAAGTTGAATATTCTGATAAGTTACAGATCTTCTGTCCTATTTGTATGTACTTTTATGTGTACTGTACCAGATGAAAATAAATCTGTTGCATGTAAAATATATTCTAACAACATGCCAGGTTTAAAGATTTTTATTGAACAGTTTAAATTTTGCCAATGCCGGAATATATATGAAAATGCCCAAAAACATTTTTTATGAGAGGAAAAACTAAAAAGGCCCTTCTTAAATTTTATAAAATCAGCTCTACGTTTTTGCACGATTTTAATGAGATGGCAAAGTGTTTTGAGTATTAAACATATCAATCCAGAGAAAATAGCCCCTACTTTATGGGTTTTTATACTTAGAAAAAACTACATGGCTAGATCAAATATATTTATAATATATCGTGCATTGTTTTGTGATAAAAATCATCTCTACCCTGAAGGTAAAATTTGTGACAAATATAGTAACATTCTTCACTGAAAGCACATATTAAGATATTTTATAGATATAACCTTGTTGAGTACATTCTTTGCCGAAAAGTACAAGTCATTCCTATTGTTTAAAAAAAGGGACAATTTCTTAGAGGCATCTCAATATCATGCACATAAAATTATTCTTGTCTGAAATTTAAAAGCCAGGAGCATTGATATTTGGGAAATTAATACATGTAACATTGTCTTGAGGAACTTTACAAATGTTAATTTAAAAATAGTTACATGCATATTAATATTTTTCTGAAAGTTCAAAGGCCTGAGCTATGATGTTTGGTATATAGTATAATCTTACAAGTCTTTACAAGTATTAAAGAGAAATATCAAGATCCTAGGGTAAAATATGTCGCCCCCTTGAGAATGTTTCATTTTACTTTTCTTCCATTTACTAAAGTCATCAATTTAGGCCAAATTTAGCCTCTTGTAAATTTTCAACTCTGTTGTGCAACTTATGAAATGTTTCTAATTTTATGACTTATGGGCTACTAACAATGATGTCCAGTTTCATGATATTTTTTCTTTATTATTATTATTATGCCCCCACTTCAAAGAAGAGGGGGTATATTGCTTTGCATTTGTTTGTCTGTCGGTCCGTAGACCAAATGGTTTCCGAGTGATAACTAAAGAACCCTTAGGCCTAGGAACTTCAAACTTGGTATGGTGATTGGTCATGACAAGTAGATGACCCCTATTGATTTTGGGGTCAAGGGGTCAAAGGTCAAGGTCACATTGACCTTGTAAGCAAAAACGGTTTCCGATCAATAACTAAAGAACCTTAAGGCCTAGGAACTTCAAACTTGGTATGGTGATTTGTCATGATCAGTAGATGACCCCTATTGATTTTGGGGTCAAGGGGTCAAAGGTCAAGGTCACATTGACCTTGTAAGCAAAAACGGTTTCCGATCAATAAGTAAAGAACCTTAAGGCCTAGGAACTTCAAACTTAGTATGGTGATTGGTCATGATCAGTAGATGACCCCTATTGATTTTGGGGTCAAGGGTCAAAGGACAAGGTCACATTGACCTCTTGGGTAAAAACGGTTTCCGATCAATAAACAAAAGAATGCTTAGGCCTAGGAACTTCAAACTTGGTATGGTGATTGGTTATGACCAGCAGATGACCCTATTGATTTTGGGGTTAAGTGGTCAAAGGTCAAGGTCACATTGACCTTGTAGGTAAAAACGGTTTTCCGATCAATAACGAAAGAACCCTTAGGCCTAGGGACTTCAAACTTGATATGGTGATTGGTCATGATCAGTAGATGACCCCTATTGATTTTGGGGTTAAGGGGTCAAAGGTCAAGGTCACATTGACCTTGTAGGTAAAAACGGTTTCCGATCAATAACGAAAGAACCCTTAGGCATAGGGACTTCAAAACTTGATATGGTGATTGGTCATGATCAGTAGAATGACCCCTATTGATTTTGGGGTCAAGGGGGTCAAAGGTCAAGGTCACATTGACCTCTTAGGTAAAAGCAGTTTCCGATCAATAACTAAAGAACCCTTAGGCCTAGGAACTTCAAACTTGGTATGGTGATTGGTCATGACCAGCAGATGACCCCTACTGATTTTGGGATTAAGGGGTCAAAGGGCAAGGTCACATTGACCTTGTAGGTAAAAATGCTTTCCGATCAATAACTTTAAGAACCCTTAGGCCTAGGAACTTCAAACTTGGTATGGTGATTGGTCATGACCAGCAGATGACCTATTGTTTTTAGGGTCAAGGGGTCAAAGGTCATGTAACATTGACCTTGTAGGTTAAAACGGTTTCGATCAATTAACTAAAAACGCTTAGGCCTAGGAACTTCAAACTTTGTATGATGATTGGTGGTGACCAGCAGATGACCCCTATTGAGTTTTGGGTCAAGGGGTCAAAGGTCAAGGTCACATCGACCTTGTAAGTAAAAACGGTTTCTGATCAATAACTAAGAACGCTTAGGCCTAGGAACTTCAAACTTGGTATGGTGATTTTTCATGACCAGCAGATTACCCTTTCGATTTTGGGATCAAGGGGTCAAAGGTCAAGGTCACATTGACCTTGTAAGTAAAAACGGTTTCTGATCAATAACTAAAGAACGCTTCGGCCTAGGAACTTCAAACTTGGCATAGTGATTGGTCATGATCAGCAGATGACCCCTATTGATTTTGGGGTCAAAGGTCAAGGTCACATTGACCTTGTATGTTAAAACGGTTTCGGATCAATAATAAAAGAACCCTTAGACTTAGGAACTTCAAACTTGGCATGGTGATTAGTCATGACCAGCAAATGACCCCTATTGATTTTTGGGTCAAGGGTTAAAGGTCAAGGTCACATTGACCTTGTAAGTAAAAACGGTTTCTGATCAATTAACTAAAAACGCTTAGGCCTAGGAACTTCAAACTTTGTATGATGATTGGTCTTGACCAGCAGATGACCCCTATAGAGTTTTGGGTCAAGGGGTCAAAGGTCAAGGTCATGACCAGTAGATACTTGATAACCCTTATTAATTGTTTGATCACTGGGTCAGAAGTCATGCATAATTACCTTATCACATGAATAATTGGCTGCTGATAGGGGGCATACATGTTTTACAAACATATCTTGTTATTATTATTATGCCCCCACTTCAAAGAAGAGGGGGTATATTGCTTTGTATTTGTCTGTCTGTTGGTCGTTCGGTATGTACACCAAATGGTTTCCGATCAAAAACTAAAGAACTCTTATACCTAGGAACTTTAAATGTGGTGTGATGATTGTGCTTGACCAGCAGGTGACCCTTATTGATTTTCGGGTCAAATGTCAAGGTTACATTGACCTTGTATGTAATAACGGTTTCCGATCAATAACTAAAGAACGCTTAGGCCTAGGAACTTCAAACTTGGTATGGTGATTGGTCATGACCAGCAGATGACCCCTATTGATTTTGGGGTCAAAGGTCAAGGTCACATTGACCTTGTAGGTAAAAACGGTTTCCAATCAATAACTAAAGAATGCTTAGAACTAGGAACTTCAAACTTGGTATGATGATTGGTCATGACCAGCAGATGACCCCTATTGATTTTGGGGTCAAGAGGTTAAAGGTCAAGGTCACATTGACCTTGTAGGTAAAAGCGGTTTCTGATCAATAACTAAAGAATGCTTAGGCCTAGGAACTTCAAATTTGGTATGATGATTGGTCATGACCCCTATTTATTTTGGGGTCAAGGGGTCAAAGGTCAAGGTCACATTGACCTTGCAGGTAAAAACGGTTCCGATCAATAACTAAGAACGCTTAGGCCTAGGAACTTCAAACTCTGGTATGATGATTGGTCATGACCAGTAGTTGACCCCTATTGATTTTGGGGTCAAGGGGTCAGTGTCATATTGACCTTGTACTTAATGACGGTTTCTGACCAATAACTCAACAACTCAAGTTGCCTAATTTAATGGTTGATATTTTTATATTAAACTAAAAATGCTTTTGGTATACACATTTGAAGGTCTTATGTAATATAACAACTTGGCTGATATTAATGAGGCCTACATAATTCATAAAATTTATGCATATATTATTATGCCCCCATTTCGAAGAAAAGGGGGTATATTGCTTTGCACTTGTCGGTCCGTCGGTCCGTTGGTCCGTCGGTCCGTCGGTCCGTAGACCAAATGGTTTCCGAGTGATAACTAAAGAACCCTTAGGCCTAGGAACTTCAAACTTGGTATGGTGATTGGTCATGACCAGTAGATGACCCCTATTGATTTTGGGGTCAAGGGGTCAAAGGTCAAGGTCACATTGACCTTGTAAGCAAAAACGGTTTCCGATCAATAACTAAAGAACCTTAAGGCCTAGGAACTTCAAACTTGATATGGTGATTGGTCATGATCAGTAGATGATCCCTATTGATTTTGGGGTCAAGGGGTCAAAGGTCAAGGTCACATTGACCTTGTAAGCAAAAACGGTTTCCGATCAATAACTAAAGAACTTTAAGGCCTAGGAACTTCAAACTTGGTATGGTGATTGGTCATGATCAGTAGATCGTCACCTTAGTGCAAGAACTCAATATCTGCTTCTTTATCTATATGCAGTTATTGAGTTTTTGCACTAAGGTGACGAGATGACCCCTATTGATTTTAGGGGGTCAAGGGGTTCAAAGGTCAAGGTCACATTGACCTCTTGGGGTAAAAACGGTTTCTGATCAATAAACAAAAGAACCCTTAGGCCTAGGGAACTTCAAAACTTGGTATGGTGATTGGCATGACCAGCAGATAAACCCCTATTGATTTTGGGGTTAGGGGTTCAAAGGTCAAGGTCACATTGACCTTGTAGGTAAAAACGGTTTCCGATCAATAACGAAAGAATCCTTAGGCCTAGGGACTTCAAACTTGATATGTAGATTGGTCATGATCAGTAGATGACCCCTATTGACTTTGGGGTCAAGGGGTCAAAAAGTCAAGGTCACATTGACCTTGTAGGTAAAAACGATTTCCGATCAATAACGAAAGAACCCCATAGGCCTAGGAACTTCAAACTTGGTATGGTTGATTGGTCATGACCAGCAGATGACCCCTATTGTATTTTGGGGGTTAAGGGGTCAAAGGTCAAGGTCACATTGACTTTGTAGGTAAAAACGGTTTCTCATCAATAACTAAAAGAACCCTTATGCCTAGGAACTTCAAAACTTGTATGGTGATTGGTCATGACCAGCAGAATGACCCCTATTGATTTTTGGGGTTAAGGGGTCAAAGGTCAAGGTCACATTGACCTTGTAGGTAAAAAACGGTTTCCGATCAATAACGAAAGAATCCTTAAGGCCTAGGGACTTCAAACTTGATATGTAGATTGGTTCATGATCAGTAGATGACCCTATTGACTTTGGGGTCAAGGGGTCAAAGGTCAAAGGTCACATTGACCTCTTAGGTAAAAACGGTTTCCGATCAATAACTAAAGAACCCTTAGGCCTAGGAACTTCAAACTTGGTATGATTATTGGTCATGACCAGTAGATGACCCCTATTGATATTGGGGTTAAGGGGTCAAAGGGCAAGGTCAACATTGACCTTGTAGGTAAAAAAATGCTTTCAAATCAATAACTTAAGAACCCTTTGTCCTAGGAACTTCAAAACATGGTATGGGTGATTGGTCATGACCAGCAGATGACCTATTGATTTTGGGGTCAAGGGGTCAAAGGTCAAGGTCACATTGACCTTGGTATGTTAAAACGATTTCCGGTCAATTAACTAAAAACACTTAGGCCTAGGAACTTCAAAAACTTTGGTATGATGATTGTCGTGACCAGCAGATGACCCCTATTGAGTTTTGGTTTCAAGGGGTCAAAGGTTAAGGTCAGACCAGTAGATACTTGATAACCCTTATTAATTGTTTGATCACTGGGTCAGAAAGTCATCAAAACCTTATCAACATGAACTAATTGGCTGCTATAGGGGGGACAATACTGTTTTAACAAACATATCTTGTTTGGTAAGATTTGTAAATAACTTAAATTGCTGCACACAACTTATTGGGTCACAAATTAATATTACCTTGTGACTAGTCATGGACCATAGATACTAGATAACCCTTATTAATTTTTGTTCACTGGGTCAGAAGTCATGCATAATAACCTGATCACATGACTAATTGACTGCCAATAGGGGCATACATTATTTTACAAACAATATCTTGTTTACATTTTAATGTTATGTTAATTTTGTTCTACAGAAATTTTACATGAGAGCTTACAAAGCAAAGATAAATTGAAGTATGGTTTGCCTGCGAGAAAAAAAGTTGTATTATTACTAAAAAGAAAGTAGAGGTTTACAGTGCCAGTATTGCAGATTTCATAAAAAGTTCAGTCTCAACATTTTATACCTAAACAAGGTATGTGTCCATATATTATACCTAAACAAGTTATGTGACTAGTGTTTTATACCTAAAACAAGATATGTGACCATGTTTTATACCTAAACAAGTTATGTGACAATATATTTCACCTAAGAAGATATGTTACTTTGTTTTAAACTTCGTAAGTTATGTGTCACCATATATTATACCTAAACAAGATATGTTACCATGCTTACAAGTAAACAAGGTATATGCTATCATGTATTATACCTAAATAAAGCGTGAGGCACTAAATACCTAAACAAGTCATGTTCAAAAAAGTTTAAAAACATGTATATGTATAAAACTATATTCCATAGCAAGATTACCATATCTTGAGGGTCAGGAATTTAAGTTTATAGAATTGGTATTGTTTAAATGTAACTATTAAAAAGTTTATAATCAGTTATTGTATTTTGAATATAATTATTTAATTATTTACATGATATTTTTTATTATTTACATAAAGTTTTGTCATTAAGGTGAAGGTGAGTCGAACAAAGACACCCAGATGTCGGACATTCCATGCCGTGTCTGCTCAGCACCGTCATCGGGGTTTCATTTTGGAGCTATAACCTGTGAAGGCTGCAAGGTATTCCAGCTTTAAATATACTCAGCTCTGTGTAATTATTTTAAAGAAAACCAACAACTTATTTAACATATGTTGAATTGTTTTATATACCCAAGGTTAATCAGGGTTTTCATTGTTAACATATTATATCCCCCTTGACCCTTGGCCAAATCAGTTGTTTTCATTGGCACATCTGTTGCCTCGGATTAAAATGAAAACCCAGGGTTTTTAACTCATTTTGTTTTGATAAAATTTTCACAGCATTGGAAAACGAAACATCTGTGCCTTAAGTTATGTCTGTATGTTTATTTTTTTAAGTAACAACTGTCTAGTGATGCAAAATAGCGAGTGCATTAATAAATGTTTTTATATTGACTGCTTTCTTGGAAAATGTTTTTTATTTTGTTAAAGGGTTAAAATGATAAAAGCATATGCAGGGTGCAATAAGGGGAAGTACTGATTTGTAGGGGCGAAATACTTTTTATTATGCCCCCTCCCTCCTTCCCTTCAGATTGCAAAAAATATATATTTTTTATTTTCATATTTCTCCTTTTGTTTTGGATAGGAAAGCATATACCATAGGTTTAAAAATTGGAGAGTAATTCCAGCCTGTAACTGAAAATTCTATACATTCTATTTTCTCTATACGATAATATGTTATTAGCTTAATTTGACTTGTTTTGTCTTATAAACTTGTTGTACATTAAATGCGTCTCCTAGACAATGTTGCAGTTTTTACATGTGAAACATAAGAAGATTTTAACTTTGGTCAGATTGTTTGTATAATAATAATATAACTAGGAACATTGGTAAAGTTAATGTAGATATATTGTATATTGATTTTAAAAAAGTAAGAAAAATAGACACTAGAAATTTATTCTGTGTCATAAATTTATTGACAAACCTTGAACCCCTGAAAAACTGAAATCTACATTTGTGGATCCCATTGGTCAGTATGTACTGTTCACATTATCACCTACATATAAACTGGTGATAGTCAAACATTGATATTTTTTCACATCTTGGCATATTTGTTTATTATGTGTGGACATGTGAAATAAAGACAATCATTTAATAAGCATGTTGTGACTTATATAAAAATGTGCTTATGTATACTCAGTGTGTTACAAAACAAGTTTAACTGATTGTCAATAATGATTTCTTTATCATGACCTGGGGGAATTCTTCAACAATACCATGACTTATATTAGCTAGTTGACTAATTTAATTGTCTGAAAGATAGAAAGCAGCCTTACATATATCATCTGCTTTGTACAATGCATGTTAAATTGAATTGAAATTGAAAATTTTAAAAGATGTGTGGCTAAATGCCATTGATTTTAGAAACCCCCCTTTTCTGATATAGATATATATTTCCCTTTCAGAAAGCCACAGGTTGGTTTGAAAATTGAAAAAAAAAAATCACTGCATACTGAAAGGAAATAGAGGATATTGAATGAGTGTAAGTTCAATACTGAATTTATTGCATGAGTTGAATAACATTATATTATGCGAGCCTCTGGCGAGCATAATATTATTTTATTCAACGAGTGCAATAAATTCAGTAATGAACTTACACAAATTTAATATTCTATTTATCACATACCCAAAATAAAGACTGTTAAAGTGAAATAAGAGTCATTTATCATTGACGCGCCTATAGTTTAACGCTAACATTTAGCGCGTCTTTACACTATGTTTGTATAACGCTAATGACGTCACATCAAAATATATGCACGGCCATGCAATACCATTTTTACGGAGTCGCAAAATCGGTACGGATGTGTGATAATATAAAATTCTACAATTTTAACAGAATATTATATTTATTAACAAATGATATGCTATTGTCATGTTTGATAGATAACAATGAAAGGCAAAGCCTATTTGTTTGCAAACATAATTTAAGGAAATAGTTTCACACAATTTACTTACATCAGTGAACACTGATTATGTTATGAGACCATCATTATCTGTAATTCAAGATTTTATAAAATTTAGGTTTGTGTCATAATATGATAATAAAAGAATTTCCTAGAAAATTAACAATCATTCCATAGATATTCTGTATTTCAATTCTAAGAAAAAGATTATTTTAAGGATATTGTGTTAGTCAGATTATATTTCATTAGTTAAACAGATTGCTCTAAATTAAGGGTAATTTATCATGACCTCAAATTTATCATGGCCTCAAAAAGTCTTTTTTTATTTTATCATTTTTGTTTTCACGACTTTTTACATTCTGAGAACCAATCAGTTTTTGAGAGGGACAAGAAAATTTTCTCAGAATTGTGAAGATAAATTTCGATTTAATTACATTCTACATAATCCTTGTTGGCTTTTGTAATGGATTTCTGTACAAAGAGACTTAATAATATATATATTGATAGATATCTCATTGTTGAACTTCTGTATCGTTAAATTTATTCATTGTTTATACTTGTATGTGTTCACAGCAGTTGTTCAGAAGGCACATAAGTACATTATTTATAACATTGATTTTTTCTCTCTTTATTTTTACCCCAACTAATTTTGCCTTACAAGGGTTTCTGTAGACAAATGATGAAGGAAAATTTTCCTTAGATTGTTGAAATAATTAAATTGCAGAAAGATGAAGAAGATTTATGATTTAATTTAGATTTAGATTTTAGATTTTTGACATTGATGATTGCACTTTTGTAGGGGTTTTTCCGTCGTATGGCAAAGGAGAGGGAGCCAGAAAAATACCAGTGCAATAAGAAAGGCAACTGTGAAATAAACATGGTGACCCGGAATCTGTGTAAGGCATGTAGATACAAGTCATGTAAACAGGCTGGCATGTCTGTTGAAGGTTAGTAAACTTAATCTCATCACTTTATATAATTCCTATAAAAAAATTACACCTTGTTTGCTCATACATGTAGTAATTAAAAATTTGTATTCAATTGTTCAAAAGATGAGAGGCCTTTATTGCTGATTGGGTATCCCATATTTTAATCACTTGTCACTCACCACTTGTTCAAATGCCACCAACTTCAGATTCTTTCATGGGAGGAAAACATCAAGCTAGCCTATGAGTACTCAGGTGCTCGATGGTACTCCGGTACTAATGCTATGAGGAGTACCTGAGGTCTGCCTTCCACAAATAAACCTAGAAAATTACTTTTTTACTGTAACAATGTCATTGCAACTTAAAACCCAATCTTTTGATTTATTAATTAGAAGTTGAGGATCATGATTTATACATTTATTTCATTTTCATTTACAGGAAGTAGGATTGGTCGTCAACCTAATTCTGTAAAACATGCCATATCAATGGAGTTAAAACAAGGAAAACCTGAGGGAGGTACAGATATGTTAACAAAGGTGAAGGAAGAACCAATAGATGAATCCAGTGTGGACTTTCTTACAGATAATAATAAATCAGATAGTTTCTCGTTCTGGGATCAGAATTCAAATACCGGTAATTCAGTGAATAAAGAAACATCCTTACGTGAAAGTGACATAAACTTGGCGAACGTTGTTTCTAAGCAGTCAAGTGTTGTGCAGTCTGTGTCAGATAATGTTGGCACTTGGCAAACTAATAATTTAAGTTTTGCTAACAGAATCACCCCACCACCACCTCCCCCTACAAGTTCAGATGTAGGATCAAAGTTGCCGTCACCCAGTAAAACACAAACATCTGTAGAAAATTACATGTACAGACATGAGAATCAACAGACATTAAATGGGACGCAGGTATCAAAACAAGACAGATATGAGCAGATAGAAATACAAAGTGACAGACAAATGCCCCCTCCACCAAGAAAGCAGGTCGGAGGTCACCACAGGGGTCAACACAATCCTGTAAATTCCTTAGTGTTCACACCTAGTCCGGTAACACAGTTTTTATCTACTACACCCAATATTGAGAACAAGCATCCCAGGGAAACAAAGATGAACCATAAAGTGCCGTCACCAATGAACATTACTCAGAATATGCACTTATCATCATCCGTACCTCAACAAACTGTGTACTCTCCCACCAGTACAACTCCTACACGAGCAAGCCCGGTGGAGAATAAACCAATTGATCAGAACAATCTTCTCGGCTCGTTTAAGACAATGACAGACTTTATCAATAAGATTATAGATGCTGGAAAATGTCTGCAGTTATTGAACTACAGGGTATGTAAGCTTAGCTTTTGTCTTAGTTACAACTATGAAAAGATGCATAACAATGTTACAGACAACATCAGTGTATTAAAACTAATAATATTGAAAAATATGACATAGATTTATATTTGGTTTACTTTAATCCTTACCATGCTTTATATCTTAAATGGATTTGTTTATCTTTCAAAATGGATAACATCATCAGGGTTCTCACTAGGACTTTAAAACATGGAGTCCATGGACTCCCAACCCTGAAAAAGTTGGAGTCCAAAAGCGCGTCGCAATTAATATGTTTACAGATTAGTCATTCAATGCTCACAATAGCATTGCTGATATTTGAATCTTCAAAAGACTTCCAAAGTTTATAGTTATTCAAAAGAAACTCTGAACTACATAGTATAATTATTGTTTTGTTGTTAATATTTATTATGAAATTATTTCATTATAATGCATCAACACATGGAAATCGTTTTGTTTTTTTTCACTTTTATACCAAATCAAATTTTATTCTGGTTAAAAAAGTCCACTCTCAAGACAAAAAGTTTGTATTTGTAAAAAAAACGTAAATGTATATAGGCAGCGTTTAGCGGAATGAATAGGAAAATCGTGTACAGCTTCACAAAGTGTGTAAGAGATTCATCCGATCGACAATTGTTTTAGCAAATATCTTCAAAAGGGGGCAAATTGAAGATCCATATTTAAAGATTTAATGTTGATTAAATAATAAAGGAACAATTCATTCGCATGTTTGGCTTGGAAACCGAGAATTTTTGCGAAATTTTAGGGTTTCTGGCGAACGTGAAATCGCCGATGTTCGGGATCAATTTTCGGATAGAATCTAAATATCAAAGAAAAGCGTATGTGTACCTGGCATTTCGGCACAATATCTTAAATTCTTAATACTCTTATAGAAAGTTTTTGCAAGAATGAAACTAAAGCAAAATTGTGCCTAGAAAATGCCGAAAATATTCGACAATCATTATAATGCCGAAAATATTCGACAATCATTCAAAATTGCACTCATTTGTAATTTGAGAAAACGGTCTTTAAACTTGCGGCGTAAATAGTCGATAATTTTATCCTTTTGTCGGTAAAATTTGCTAATTTCCAATCAACTGTTGATCAAAGATATAAAATTATCACCTCGTGTTATATCTGGTAATTACATGTACTGTACAGCGCGTGTATACATTAGTCTGATCACTATTGCGTGATAATGATCGGAAGCGTTATCGCTGATTGGCCAATCGCTTCACGGGTCGATGTGCATAGGACCGCCTACCTATAGACTGACACGCGCTGATGCATTTGTGTATTTGTGGTTGTGAACAATCTGTAATGTTTATGCGTCCCCAGGCAAAATTAAGCGTACATGGAATCCTTGCTCTGTAATATTTGCGTCCAGCTGTAATAAACATGAGTACCGGGACGCCGAAATAAGCGTCCCCGAGAACCCTGATCATTCTTAATTTTAAGGGACCATTTCAAAAAAAAAATTAAAAAAAAATTTAAATATGTATAGTGTAGTCCATGATCAAATAAAGTCATGTAACATAGGGCACTTGTATCATAGTTTGTGGATCTTTCTGTTGAAAATGTGTCAGAGTTTAATCGTATACATATACATGCACAGTGTATATGTATACAGGAGTGCAGGTATTAGTTACCCGCACTCCAGAGAATTCCCATTGATTGGCTCATTTTTGCTGGGGTTTACTTATTTTGACAGCAGAGAAAGGGAAAGCTATAGAAATATCATAATCAGATGCTCATTCATTGGTTATTTCTTTCTGGGGTTTCATATTGTGACAACCAGGAACGTGTTTTTATGTTTTACTATGATACAAAAGAGAAAGAACATCAAAACACTCGTCAATCTGATTTATACTCTGGGGAGGGGCTATGCCCCCTCGTACAAATCCGATAGCCTCGTGTTTCGAGGCTCTTTCTATAACTTACTACACACAGAAATTACATAGGACATATAAAAATATGGACACAAAAATATGAAGAAATTTTTCTTTCTTCAGTAGTAACTGATTTTGGTGATAAAACAGTCTTTCAAATGTTAAAAAATGCATTCAAAGTTTCTGTGACTATGAAAATTTTTATATTAATACAAATCTTGAACTATAAATTTGTTGGTTTTTTGCACTTTGATCTCTTGAAGAATTATTTGACTCATAATTATGATTTATGAGGGCTTGTCACTTGAAGTTCATTGTATATGTAATTGTAATAGTCACATTTGAAATTGTTTGGGCTACTGTATTGATTTTGTGCACAAAATACATGTATAGTTATAAATATATAGTTATAGTTATAAATATATAGTTATAGTTATAAATATATAGTTATAGTTATAAATATATAGTTATAAATATATAGTTATATGAACAATTTTTTCAGGTGTTTGATACAGACGTTAATCCAACAACTTCTATGAATGTTGATGATATTAAAGCATTGTTTAAAAGTAAATACATGGATCCTAAGGTAAATTATATTGATTTTGTTGCCTTTCTTGTTTCTTTTCACTGTAGAATTTCATGTTTCATTGTTTATATCTTGGTTTTTTTTTATACCAAAGTGACAATTCAGATCCTTATTAATTATCTGTTAAAATACATTTTACAATTTCCTGTATAAATCTTGTTTAATTGGACTATAAATATATGATAACTGTTGCATAGAAGTAAATTAATACTGCATTAAATGTGAAAGAAATATAAGAAGTGCAGTAAAATATAAGGCTTGATGTAAAAACATTGTTTTCTCTGAATATGAAGTTTTATGAAGGACACAAGTAGAACTGTAGTACAAGCTTTCAAAGTCCAGTAATATTAAGGATGAAATTTTGATGTCTGAAAAGTGAGTATAGGGTCTCACTGATGATGCTTTGGTGGTGGGGAGTGGGGTCTTGTGAACTATTCAAGAATTGGTTTGTTCACATTTGTAAAAACTTACCTTGTTATTGGTAAGGTGCCATTTCAGCATTAACATGATAAAGGTGATAATGACTATGAGGTAGAAAATAGATGAAACATAATTGATAACTTGACACTTTTGCCTCCATAACTTCATAGGATGCTGGCCAGTGGATAGTACCTGACTCTGTTTCAGTAGTTAATTAGTTACTGGGTGTCAGATTCACACTGACATTACATAACTCTTTCAGGACATAATAATATATTCATATATTTTCATTGAGATATGCATGTATATGTTATCAATTTTTAGCTTTCAGTTTTCCTGGCAACAGGATGTCTAGGTTAAAACATGTTTAGTTTTACAAATATTTCTTGTACTGATACTTAAGAATATTTGAACGGTGGTAAATCAATGACTCATCTTTTATAGCCAAGTCATGTGTAATTGACGTCAATGTAATATATAATGTTTACATGTGTTTTTAGGCTGGTAATGTGATAACATCAAAAGTTGATATGTCGGTGTTTTCTACACGAGAATCTACGTGGAATTACATGATGACAAACTTTCACCATAATACATACATCACCATTAGATTTGCTAAACTAGTGCCAGGTTTGTAAATGTTTTATCTTTTAGTCTATTCAAGTATGCCAAATCTTTGAATGTTAACTGCAGTAATGATTTGCCTGTTTAACCAACATAAAGTCAGGCAAGTCAGTACATAGATTAAGTTAGTCAAGTATTCATATAGATTAAGTCAGTCAAGTCTGCACATTGTTAAAGTCAGTCCAGCTTTCACATAGATTCAAGTCTGCACATAGGTTAAGTCAGTCAATTCTGCACATAGGTTAAGTCAGTCAATTCTGCACATAGGTTAAGTCAGTCAAGTCTGCACATTAAGTCAGTCAAGTATGCACATAGGTTAACTCAGTCAAGTCTGCACATTAAGTCATTCTAGTCTGCACATAGGTTAAGTCAGTCAATTCTGCACATTAAGTCATTCTAGTCTGCACATAAATTAAGTAAGTTAAGTCTGCACATAGATTAAGTCATTCTAGTCTGCACACAGGTCAAGTCTGCATATAGATCAAGTCATTCAAGTCTGCACATAGATTAAGTCAGTCAATTCTGCACATTAAGTCATTCTAGTCTGCACATAATTTAAGTAAGTTAAGTCTGCACATAGATTAAGTCATTCTAGTCTGCACATAGATTAAGTCATTCTAGTCTGCACATAGATTAAGTCAGTCAAGTCTGCACATAAATTAAGTCAGTCAAGTCTGCACATAGATTAAGTCATTCTAGTCTGCACATAGATTAAGTCAGTCAAGTCTGCACATAAATTAAGTCAGTCATGTGCAAACCAAGATCAGCTACATTTTTGATGATGGTCTGCTTGTTTTGCTTTTCAGTCAGTACAAACATTGAAAGTCCAGAGTGATAGGTGGACAAATCTATTGGAGATATTTTAGAGTTAAACATAATTTGGGAAATACTGAGGAGTATTAGTATAAAAAAGTTAAGTACTGTGCTGATGTCAGATTATGATTTCTTTATTGTTTTCAGATTTTGTTCAAGGCTTAATGAATTAAAAAAAACTGTTTTATGTTCTTCATGTGGCTATGTGATGACAGTGTAATGATTTATTGTATATGATTTCAGGGTTTAAGACATTGAGTTTAAATGACCAGGTGAAGTTGATACAGTCCTCTATCTATCCGATAGAATTGCTCAACATGTCCAAGGTATATGACCCCTCCACCAGGAAATACAACTACTTCACTTACACAAAGGAAGAGGAGAATATCATGATGGAACAGTTTCCGATGTTGAGAGTGTTTCAGGTAGTTTGATTAGATTTATCTTATGTTTTTGTAACGGTGAAAAAAATGTGCAGCCTGACTGAGTTTCGAATCGGGACCCTCAGAATACTCTTCCTTGACTTTACCGAATGAGCCATCTGGAGCCTTACACATCATCTCCCCTAAAAGTGAACATTTCTAAATCGTGACATTTTTTTTCCCCAGGAAGCATGCATCTTGGGCAACTTAAAGGGGCTATGTCTGAGTCCAATGAAAGGGGTTTGACATTAATTGAAAATTAAGGTTACCATCGAGTATATAATGTATTACATATTGTTAAAATTGTTCTTAACTCAACCAAACAATTATTATAACATATTTACAGTGCATATAAATAGGAAAAGTAAACAAAGGATCTGTTTTGCTTTTGCAAATGTTGATTATGGCTGTATTTTTGTTTTATAAAAAAAACTGTATATTATTATTGAACTATTTTTTTTCTTCTGTATTTAAGCCAGAAATATAATTAATAAACATAATAAAATAGACCCTATGAATATTATATAAAATAGGGTAATATCACTAGTTTTATTGTTCCAGGAACATTTTCTTCATGTTGGTGAGATGGTTACATCGTTCCAGTTTACCGACGAAGAATTTGCATTATTGTCAGCATTACTTTTGTTTCCTGCTGAAGTTCATGGTCTAGAAAATCCAAAAGCTGTCGAGCAGTTACAGAACCAGATATCCGGTGCATTACAGGCCTACGAAGAAAGTAAGATTTTGTTCCATCATTTTGCTCGATTTTTCATGCAGTATTCTTCTCTTAGTAAACAAGTTAGTAAGTTTTTGCAAATACCGTCAAACATGTTGCTTTTCTTCACTGATCGTATACTGTATGTGTAGAAATATTCGCGGGCTTTAAATTTTCGCGATCTTCGCGGTGACATTGGATCCGCGAATTCATGTTAAGCGAATATTTCTACACCAATAACTTCTAAATAGTCATATTTTCGCGCATCTATAGAACAATGTATATCAGTGTGTTCACGGCTGCCATAAGCCTGGTATCCGTGGCGCTTTCAAAGAGTGATGTAACTGTTGTATAAACTGTACATGTAACATTTAGCTCTGTATATAAATCAGTTTGCTAGTGTATTTTTGTTTGACTGATCTGATTATCGGATTCTTGTATAAGTATAATACATGTTTGAACAATACCATTGCATCACGCTATTTATTTCATAGTCTGAGTCTTGACATCTAATCAGATTATATTTTTTTTTCTCTAAAAAGCAATGCAAATAACACAAACATTAACAATTCTAACTGATGAAAACATGGAAAACAAAACACAATAAATAGCCAACATTTTAACAAAACTAGTGAAAAGATTATGGTCTCATTCAGTACTGTTTAAAACTGTGAATAATCACGCACGTTAACGGACATTCTTTTGTTTGCCATAATCTTTCCGCTAGACAAATTAGTGTCTTTGTTCTGTACAATAGCGTATTGTTTGACACCAGGTGTTGAACATAACTGTGAAGTCCAACAATGATTACAGTAAAAAGTATGTAAAATAAAACAAGGCTGCTTGCGAAAACCAATCGTGTAAGAGTAAATCTCTTATTTTTTACCCTGATGGGTGTACGCGAATTTATGATTTTCGGCAGTCACCTCCGCGAATTCAAAATAGCGCGAATATTTGTATATACCCCCAAAATGGACCTTTCCGCGAAAATTTGCTTCCGCGAATTTAAATACACATACAGTACTCTCTTCTCTTAGTAAACACATTAATAAATTCTTGCAAAATACTGTCAAACCTCTTATGAAAACCTTGTTGTTTTTGGTCACAGATTGTATCTCAGAATTTTTTTCATTATAACATTTATAAATTTGAAAATTAGTTGTTTTTTTGACATTCTCAAGTTTTCTGTTCCTGGTCTGAATTCACTCATTGGGTAATGTGTTTGACATAAGAGTTTTCTTTTAATTTACTTTAAAATCTATAACTGTAGAATCTGGTAAATGAGGGAATATTAAAAAACACATTTAAAAAGTACCATCTTACTGTTATTCTGTATTGGATGATATGCTTATGTTGTACCTGCACTGTAAGTTTGTCTAGAAAATTGGAGTGCAGATTACTGGAAAACTATAAATAAAGCAACAACAAAAAAGACCTTGTTAAATGTATTATTATACAATTATAATTATACCATAAAGATAATTTGTCACTTATATCTGATGATTAGTGTTCTAAATGACCCGTTTAAAAGATGGGTCATGTTAAATACTTTTCTTGATAATGTTTTATTTCCGCAGAAGTGTCTGGAAATATAAATAAAATTAAGTTTGAATACCATAAAATTATTTTGTTTTTATCATAATCAGTTTAATAAAATTGTATAAACATTATGGTTAAATTGCCACTTAAATGAAATTTCAGTTCCATGGGAAAGAACTTTAAGATACAATAATTTGTCTGACTGTCTCTAAACCTAACTCTACAAGTGCATTAAAGTTCCACTAATTATTATAAGCAAATATGCTTACCAGTATTTACTAGATTTTACAGTATTAAACAAGTTTTATACATGTTTTATGATATTGTAAAGATAATCAGCTTTTTCATTTCCTTCTGATTATTAATACTGACGTGAAATTTTAATCTGTACTTCAGAGACATTTCCGGAAGGTTTGACCCGATACGGAATTCTTCTGGTTCGAGTTGCTGAGCTTGTTCAGTGTCTTCTGCAGCATAATTTAGCGATAGGCCTTCTGCTGACCCATAATCCAACAATCAAAGTCCCGCAACTCTTTCATGAACTTATCATTGAAAGCATTAAAGAGGGACAGAAGTTGTAGAGCTAGTCTAAAGCATCATGTATATCGGGCTCATCTGACCTTTTTAGTCAAAGGTCATTGTGTTTTGTACCTGTCGAAAAATTCGACTACTTGTTTTTAAGGTCCTTATTTTGTACATAATATGTGAAGATATAATTAAACATTAAAAAGTGCTAGATTGAGACTTTGTACGAGATTTCAGCATTCATACCTCAGATATATTGGCCAGAGTCAGATTCAGCATTTTCTTTGAAAGTGACAATAGACTATATAGTTTGTTTTATATTTGTTGACTTCTATAGCTTGTTTCATATAATGTTAAATGAGGAGGCTGAAAAACCTGTATAATAATTATTTGTTGTGTGTAAACTTAAATGAGACTTATTCAGTGTGGCCTGTAATGTGTTCCTAATACAGAGACAGTCAGAATGAGAAAAATGGAAATTGTTGTAGAAAACACCTGTACAAATCAGCCACAATATTTTGGCAGCTACAACAAAGAAAGTAAGATGATGTCAGCATTATTGTAGTGGACTTTTTCATCATCTCCTTCAAATTATGTACAAATAACTTGCTTCAGTTTTAAGATAAAAAAAAAACAATAAGGGCATTAATCAAATTTTATAATCATGTTTTAACACATAGAGAAATGTATGTATGTTTGAAATTGTGTTCTGTGTGTATATATGTATACATATATATATATACACAAACAACTAAGATGGTTTTTGTTTTTGATCGTTGTTCACAATTTGTAGAAAATAATGTCAAGAAGTGTTGAAAACTTAATATTTATTTGATGCCTTCATCCATAATACAATGTGAATATTTAATGTATCATTTTGTTCAATATTGTCTCCGAAAGATATCTGATTTTGTGAATGGATTATGTGCCTGCTTGAAGTCTCTTGTGTAACTGAGTAGACATTTGAAATGGTTATTCAAATGGGAAATTCCTTTATTGAATATTTGTAAGATTATAATTTGGTAGTGATTACACATATCTGTGTAATCCTGTCGCATATTATTGTGTAATCATGCTACACATCATTGTGTACTCATGCTACACATCACATGTTGTCATGCTACACATAAATTTTTAATCATGCCACATATTATTGTGTAATCATGCTACACATCACATGTTATCTTGCTTCATGATAGTACAATGTATCTAAATATGTAATCATATTACACACAAGTGTGTAATCATGTGACAAATTAATGTGTAAATATGCCACACATCAGTGTGTAATCATTACACACATCTGTGTATACTCATGCTACACATTCTTATGTAACTGTGCATTATATAACAGTGTTATTATGTGTTACACATTAATGTGTAACCATGCTATACATTTGTGTGTGTAATCATTCTACACATTACTGAATAATTATGTCACATATTGTTGTGTAATCATTGGACACATTACTATGTAACTATGTTGAGTTATTTTGTATAATGTTGTTGTTTTTCACTTATTAGCTTATGAGAATATTTTCAGATGTACATATCATTATAGTGATTAATGAATGCCAAGTATATGATACTGTACTCACTGACGTGCTGCGATTCTAGACCTGTTTCCTTGGCTTCTATAATGCTAAACAGTGCATCGGTTTTCTTGTTGATTAACTTATATAACTTATATTGATTGACTTGCCTGTGTGAAATAAGTAGTGCTAACCAACTTGTGTAACTTGATTCATAATGAGGACAGCCTTTCTTACCAGATCTAATAATAGAACGAGATCTAGTAATAGATTGAGAACCTTAAAGAGTTTCTTAAAGCTGCATTTTATAAATTTGTAAAAATATTTTACCATCAGCCTAAACACTAAGCAGTCTTATACATTTCCAATAAAAAGACTTTTATTGTTTTAGCTTCACAATGCACTAGATCTACCATTGGAAATAAAGTAACCAACAGATAAAAAAAAATATGATACAGAAATATACTATTGAATTAGAAAAGATCTTTCTAGCCATGTTTATTATCCCCCGCCGATAGATCGGGGGATATTGTTTTGGCGTTGTCTTTCCGTCCGTCCGTCCGAATTTCATTTCCGGACTAGTTCTCTGCAACTACTGGCTGGAATTCAACGAAACTTTATGGGAATCTTCCATACCAAGAGGAGATGCGCATATCGTCGGCTTGTTCCGGTCCGACACTTAAACTCAGAGTTATGGCCCTTGATTAGTTATGCAGTTATATATAGAGTAAAAATCGTTTCCGCGCTACTTCTCTGCAACTACTGGCTGGAATTCAACGATACTTTATGGGAACCTTCAATATCAAGAGGAGATGCGCATATCGTCGCCTTGTTCCGGTCAGACACTTTAACTCAGAGTTATGGTCCTTGATTAGTTATACAGTATGCATATAGAGCAAAAATCATTATCGCGCTACTTCTCTGCAACAACTGGCTGGAATTCAACAAAACTTTATGGGAACCTTCAATATCAAAAGGAGATGAGCATATTATTACCTTGTTCGGGTCAGACACTTTAACTCAGAGTTATGGCTCTTGATTAGTTATGCAGTATGCATATGGAGCAAAAATTGTTTCCGCGCTACTTCTCTGCAACTACTGGCTGGAATTCAACAAAACTTTATGGGAACCTTCAATACCAAGAGAAGGTTTCGCATATCATTGCCTTGTTTGGGTCAGACATTTTAACTCAGAGTTATGGCCCTTGATAAGTTATGCAGTATACAACCAGAGCAATAATTTTGTCCGTGCTACTTCTCTGTAACTACTGGCTGGAATTCAAAGAAACTTTATGGGATACGATGTGCATATAGTCGCCTTGTTCGGCTCAGGCACTATAACTCAGATTTATGGCCCTTGATTAGTTATGCAGTATGCATACATCTCATTGGCATTCCAGATATTACTATTTAACACAGAGTTATGGCTCTGTTATTGCCCTGAATATTTATCAAGTTCAAAGAATGTTACTGTTTATGCCATGATAAATATATAAATAAAGCCTTATGTCTTCAGTTGTTGTGTTAGTAATAACCAGTGCTCGGCGGGGGATATAAATTCAACGAATTTGCTTGTTTTACTGTTGATGTTCAAATGAACCAATGTCAGAGTTTTAGCATGCAAACAGAAATTGTTCTTTCGATTTCACAACAAGGAGGTTGCAACTGATTATGCTTAAGAAGCTCATTTTGGTTGTCTAGACACAATAATAAAAACTATTATTAATGAAATGAAGCTTTTTCTGTTTTTGATGAAAGTTATAAAATGCAGCTTTAAAAATAAGTTATAAAACATAAATGTATTTTATAGTGAGACTATATAAAATAGTAGGTTAAAAAAGCATCACCAGAGTTAGAGCAGGGTTATTAATTGTTTGTTTAATGGTTCATTTGCATGAATATTTAACTTCTGTGATTAATTCCATTGTCTAAAATCAAAGGCATATTATAATATTAAATCACTGGGAGGAAATCGTTAGTCATCTATCAAGTCTAAAATTTAGAAATGGCAATGTTTATGGCATAATATGAAATTCAAGTCTTTTAGAAACTTTAATATTTCTGTTGAATCTTGGGAGAGAAAAAACTTTAATATTAATGTAAAGATTATTTTGATATTGATTTCAAAATAATATCACTTAAATGAAAAAATCTGGCTTACCAGCCACATGTAATAATTATGAAGTTTATTGCAGTCAGTGAAAGCTGTAAAATGTATAAAATTATGTAGGATTTACTAAGCACAATCATTTTATTGACTGTAAAAGGCCTTATAAATCTGTATTGCTCAAATTTCAGCTCACCTGTGTTCAGTGGTGAGCTTTTGTGATTACTTGATGTTTGTGGTGCATCTGCCATTGTCAGTGGTCTTCAAGCTTCTTTGGTTATTCAAAAGTTCTGTATTCTATTGAAACCAAAAGTAATTAGCCTTTGCCACTAGTATAAAGCCAAGCTCTGTTCTGTTGGTAGCTCAGATTTTATGTTTTGATATTGAAATTATGTTTAAAGTAGTTTTGTGTGATACATGGTATAACCCTTTACCTGCTGACTTTGTGTGATAGATTTGTCCAGCTTTGAATTTTGAATAGCTTATAAAAAGTTAGAAATGGGCAAATCTATTACACAACTTGATTAGGTTAAGGGTAAAACAATGTTCTGCACAAAATTATTTAAAACGTCACAGGACTGTCTTTAAACTGCCCAGCTACAACAGCTTTGCACAATGATCTTTTGCAAAAGTAAGTCAAATGAGCTTATAGTATATTTTCCGCTTGACTATTCAAAGAATAAGAAGAGCTATTTTCTGTTGGCAACGCTCTTTGGTTAAGGTTTTGCATGCAAGTTGATATCTCTAAAACTACTGAGGGGAATATGTTGAAACTTCACAAACTTGTTCTCTGTGATTATCCAACATTATGGGCACAGGTCCCATAACTCTGAGTTACCTTTTTACATAGTTATGTCCCTTTTGGTACTGTCAAGCACTGAAAAATGTTCACCCCGCTGTCATACAGATAGCCCTTGTTAATGTTATAACTTCAGAAATTTGTGAGGAAATTCAAGGCTTAGAGCTTAGATATTTGTTAAGTACATGTATTATGTTTCTTTGGAGTCGAAATAAAATTTTAAAGAATTTATTTAGACCACTAAGTTTATATTTGTAACATTCAAATATGTAAGCTCCTGTGACAATTATTGATTTTTAAAATTCACCTGAAAAACTTCTTTTCTACTTTCTGTATTTTTTTTTTACAGGTGAGCGTTCAAGGCCTAATCTTGGGCTACTAGTTCATTTAATATTTGATGAATTTTTCTGTGTTTAGCCAAAAAGTATCAATGTTTAAAGGGAAAAAGTCATTGAAAATTCATGTATATACTTATAAATTTTGGTGTTAATTTTTCAAAATTGAAGTATTTTTATCACAGCATGCAGTTGTGTACAGTAAACTCCGCTTATAACGAACTCATTGGGACATTCAAAATATGCTCCTTATATCCGGAGTTCCTTATAAGCATATAGCGAACTAGTTCCTTGTATCAGGAGTTTTTATAGCGAACAGATTAACATATAACAAACTAATTGTTTACCATCGTCTGCCATTTTGAAGAGCATTTAATTAAGAAAAAATAGTCATTTATTACATTTCTTTTTGAGACACAATACCCGAGAGCGTACTTTTTGGAATTTGAAATCCTTTTCTATTTCAGTTTAGTTTTACTCCCTTTCTCAATTTCTCATAAAATATAATATTTTGTTTCTAAACTCAGTGCTGCCATGAGTAGGGATAAACAAGATTTTCGATATTTTCTTCCTTTTATGTATTAGTTGTATTATATTTTAAGAGTGACTTTTACTAATGAAAGATATAGATTTCTTTCCATTTCAATCAAGCGTACTTTGTAGTTTTCAATGGATTATGCTTGATTATGTTGAAAACCGATTATAAATGATCATAATTATTTTACTCCAGCAAAACTAAAGAAAAGAAATAAAAATTAAAAGGAATAACCGTTTTATCTTGGTGACAAGAACTCATGCTAAAATATCTTAAATAGAAAACTATTACGTACTGCTATACAAATTCATTTTCATAGATGTATTGAAGTACACTCAACAAATGAAAACGAAGTTGAAAATGCGGGATCTATTTATGGATAGCGGATATTTTGGAGTTTGTTATAAAAGTGTAATTTTCTGTACTTTTAACTAAATTGGGACTAAACAATGAGTTCCTTATAAGCGATAATTCCTTATAACCGTGTTCGCTATAACTGTATTTTTTTATATAAAATAAAGAAGGGCAAAATTCGGGCCAAAATAAATTGTTCCTTATAGCCGGAAGTTCGCTATAACCGTGTTCGCTATAAGTGAAGTTTACTGTACTCCCTTTCCCCATTCGTTTAATATTTTTGTTATTTGATAGATTAATTTAATTTATTATTTTTTCTTAAGAATTATTTTTCTCAAAAAATGGAATTTAACCACATAATCAACAAAATTTAATAGCTCTGAATAAACTGTATAGAAATTTAATAAAGAGATGACCTTATTAGATGATTATATTGTTGTTTCCTAAACCATACATTATCATGTCAGAATGTTTGTCAGTAAAGAAGTAATTCATTGTATTTCTTTATATGTTGCTTCACACATTAACTGTAGGGAGACAATCCTATGTGTTTTATATTGTACATGCTTTATACTCTATTCCCGGTTTATGGCCATGACTAGAAAATATTACATTTTATGTTTTACTTGTACATATATACAATTGATGTTGGTACAGTGAAAGTTTTGTATAACTTTGTAATGATTTCATTATGTTAAGATCTCAGCTCTAGTTTTATAGTGTAATCAGTAATCACTTTTGATTCTCTGAACAAAAGTGGTCGTAATAACTGGCCAATGTCACAATCATAGAGCCAGACCAGCCTTTGTGAAATACAGTTGATTACTTTAAAAGATATTTTTAGATTAACAATCAACCAATATTCATTTATTTTTATGAAATAATTCAAAATCAATTTCATCAATTTCTTATTGATATACTGTATAATGTTGATTGATTAATCTTGATGTCACATGAAATTGACCGGAGACAGGTCCAAAGTCAAATCAAATCTTAAATCATTAAACAAAATCTGAA